CCCCAAAACCCCAAAACCCCAAAACCCCATCAAGAAAATCAAAAATTTATTTTGAAAATTAAAAATTAATAAGAAGTTGAGTTTAAGGCGTAACATTAGACCTTTTAAATTTAAAATTTTCCATTATCACACTTTAAGCAAATTAAATCATCCTAGTAAAAATAACATTTATTTTTAATTTGACAGTTATGCTCTCTTAAGAAAATTCTTCTGTTTCAATCACGAACAATTAACAGCAATAGTAGCCAATCTCTTAGATTAGTTCTTAGAACTCTTTTACAAATTATCAGCCTTAGCCAACTCCTAATGCTTCTGCATAAGCTGAAAGGTAAACTGCATCCTTATAAGTTATTCAAACTCACAACCAAATACCATTTGCTGAATTTAAAATAAATGATTTGGATACTAAACTTCAGTAGAATTTGAATGTGATTTAAATTGAGAGTGAAAAGCCAAGTACTTAAATACTGCTTATAAATCATGATAAAAATGAATTTACTTAACCTGAAACTAATCCTATTACTTCATCAATATCAAACTGCTAGCCATCCTCATGTATTCATTACTTTAACCTATCTAACATTTTACTTAATAGTACAAGAACACAAAGATATTTTACCATGTACTGTTTAAAAGACTTCAAATATTACTGAAACTCACTAAGTGATAGAAAAGGAAAAAGTTGTGGCTTATTAAGATCCATTTATTACTACTGCACTTTAGTCTGATGGTTTTAAAGATTTTGATAGCTCTTCAAATATGATATTGAATGAGGATTAGGTTGGCAGACTAGATAATCAGCATAAAAGGTACGTAACTCAATTATTTTATTTTAATCTATCTTAGTAAAAATGGTGAGTGTAATGAGAATTAAGATGAAGTTTGAACTGCAATCTCTGTGAACCAAGATCAGAATTCTAACACAATTAAGATTATAAATCTTGAGGATGAAAAGCTGCACGGCTTTAGAAACTCTAGCAATGAAAAAGAACCTTTGAGGGAGAAAAAAAATTCTTAAAATATTCATTAGAGAATTATCTTAGTTAATAGAGACAATAACAGGAAAAATAGTTCTGAAAACAAAAGTTAGAACAACAGAAATAGATTATCTCGAGAAAGGAAGTTTAAGTCAAGATCTAGGTCTCCGTTATTAAATAACAGATGCTTGAATTGCAATTGTCATATTAGAGATAGACAATAAAGAAATGAAAGAGACGGCTACAATAATAGATAAAATCGAGATGATAATTACAATAATAACGATAGAAAGAGAAACTAGTTTTAAAATCAAAATTATAATATGAATGGAAATAACAATAGGAGCAACTATAATAATAATAACAGAGGAGATTTCTAGTAGAATATTAGATCTAGAAGTATTGAAGGTAGTTGCAGTAGGAGAAATAATCCTAGTTTGCTTGATGATAGATATAATAACAATAATAACTATCGGGATATGAGAGACGGAAGAAATAGAAACAATGGTAATGGGAATAACTATGGAGATGGTCTATATCATAACAATAATAGAGATAACTAGAGGTATTAAAACAAAAATTTTGACAATTAAAGAGATCAAGAAAAGCTACTTCACATAATAGTAAATCCTAATAAAGATAAGGTCCATGATGATAACAATAGAGGTGGTGGAGGTTATTACAGAAATTATAACAGTGGATTCAATAATAGAAGGGATGACGATGGCAAGTAAAGGAAAGATTCATATTCTCGAGAAAAAGACTCCCCTCAGTAAAGACATAATCCTGAAAATCCTGGTATAATATTTCAACCTTAATTCGATATGAGTAGGTAATAATGTCTATGTGGCTGGGATTCCAAGAAGAATAACAGAGGAAGATTTAAGAAGAGTCTTTGTTAAATTTGGTCCGATTTCAGAAATCAAGGTCATCAGAGATCCAGTTACTAAAAACTCCAAAGGATTTGCTTACGTATTATTTGATAGAATTAGTGATGCTTAAAGAGCTATCGAAAATTTAGGTAACTTTAATTTATATAATCATTGAAAAATTTAGATAATGCAAAAGTATTTAATGATTGGGCTTTGAAGGTTGAAAGAGCAAAGAGAGCACTACCATACGAGCCTAAAAATGACAATTAAAATGAAGATTCATTCCATGAGTAAGAAGATGAAGAAACTGATATATTGCCAAAAATTAACAATAATTACAATAGAAGGAATAATAATAATCATCACGATAACCCAAATCACTAAAACAGAGGTAGAGGTGGTTATTAAAATGACAATAATGGTGAAGGTAGAATTTATGATAATAATAATCATCAAAGATAAAGACATCAATAGTCAAGAAGCAGATCATATGAGAACAGAAGGAAAAATGAGTCTAGAGGAGTTGAGGGAAGTGGATATAGAAGAGATTATCATAACAATGGTGGGAATAGAAATAATAATAATGATGGTAACAATAATCATCACTAACAGCATCATAACGATAATCGTTATAATAGAAAGTACAACAATAATCACAAAGCATTCTGATAATTTAACTATTTCAAATGAAATATATAAAAGCCTACAAGCAAATAGGAATGGTATGTTAGGTTATTGAATGACTAGAAAAATTGATAATTAATTTCATTAATTTATTCATTAATCATTCTAATTGAATATTGAATACATTTCATACGGGGTTTTGGGGTTTTGGGGTTTTGGGG